ATATTTGTTTTATAATATAGCAATGTCAAAAGCCCGAAGAATAAGAAAAATTTCCGTGTTTACAAGCGGCGGAAAATTTCCCGTGTTGACATGGAGTTATATCAACACGGCTCTTAGCCAATCAGCGTTCAGAATTTACAAATGTTATATTATAAATATATATATATATACACATATATATATATATATATATATATATATATATATATATATATATATATATATATATATATATATATATATATATATATATATATATATATATATATATATATATATATATATATATATATATATATATATATATATATATATGTTTGCCATCGCATATATCACTGACCACTAGATATAATGAGGAACAAAATGAAAGCGAAAGCAGACAGATACAATACAATGCAATTTATTCTCTTCTTAATAACCTTATATAAATTACATACAAGTTTGCATAAGAAATAGCGCTAGCACCACAAAATAACCAAAAAGCTAAACGACTGGGGGCCAATTGTACCAATTAACTAGTTATATAGATCGATTGTTTGTTCAGTGTGTTGTTGATTTATAGCCCTATACGCGTTGGTTTACGTCTATTATCTGCAGTTATTAACGATGTCAAGTCGACTTACATAGTTTACATTTTAGGTCAAAAGAACATAAAAAGGCTCTTTGGCAGATTCCAGAATTATCAAATAATTCTGAGGGTCAAGGTACGTATGCCAAAGTTTTATTTCATTCACTTTATGAATGTAGATGGGCAATAACTGGAAGATACATGTACATGAAATGATCAGATGAGTCAGTAAACCTGGACTAGACAAATAGTGAAATAAAATGTTACTGCTATAAACATAAAATTACATTTTAAACGGTTTTGCTTGTAATATGCGCAATTCCGTCTGTCTTCGTGTCACAATTTGTAGCAAGTAACAGCAGATTTATTATTAAAATACGGTTTAAATTTTGTTTTCTATCATTAAACTCCTTCAGACCATATTTTGCGGTCTTTTGGTTCTGCGGGGAAGAATTTTGTACATAATTCTCTCGAAGTCTTGGCAAAACAAAAGTTCCCCATTTCTTTTCTCGACCGTGGTCCGTTACAATGGTCCCTGGTTGAGTGAGATTTCTGGATTTTGTAATAGACCATGGTTGGGTGTATACTATATATTAAGTATTATACTATATAGCAAGTGTGCATGCTTTTATTACTTTAAACTTATGGTAGCCTTGTTTGTAGGTTTCAGTTCCCTAAGAGCGCGATTCGACGTTACAGAAGGACCGAGTGTAGCTCAAACGATTGCTGTGCAATTTCAGTGTAATGGCTCTACGCTCTCGAAAATTGGTTTTCAACTTAATACGGACATGTATAAACTGTCGTTAGTGAAGAAAAAAATTGTAACGGGTATGTTAACTATAGTTCAACCACTTGCCTTTGAGGGAACGCCGTTTTTCTATCAACACATTTCATTAGATAGATAGATGTGAATGATCTCGTTCCTTATAAAAACTCCCAAAGCAAGGAAAGTGCACGATATTTTTATCATGTCATTTTTCTGTCAGATATTTTTTGTAACTGTCCTTTTGCAGGATGTTTTTTATACACCGTAGAATCCCGATTCCCCCCTTCTACACCCCTGTGTACACAAATTTAGTTGCCACCCGAAAATAGTGACACTCCGTAAGTAGCAGCTACCCGAAAGTAGTAGCTTCCAACAGCGGATATAACCAAAAAGTACGGGGGCCCGCAGGTAAGGTATTCCACAAAAAATTAATACTTTTGTCTTTTACCCTTTGGTTTTAGGGAAATACATGGCAGATCCAAAGTAGCTGTCTTAAAAGAATGTAATTTATTATGAATAATTGCAAATATATTGTACAGTGTAATTAACTATTACAAGGCCAGCATGATAAGAATTTTATAGATTATGGGCATATCATTTTAGTACCTACTGTAGCACTCGGTTCACATTATCTTTTAGCAAATGACACTTTTTGGCCACCTGTTGTACTTGCTCTATGTGGGTAATACTTATTGTCTCATTCGACGTACGCAGAGCCAGATGGAGAAACACGACTAAAGCCGGTTTTCCACTTCAAGCGTACCGTACCGAAACGTATCAAAAACGTTTTTAAATTTCAAAATTTCGTGAATTTTGATTGGTTAGTACTTCCGTAGTACGCCAGAAAGTTGACTTGCGACGAACTTTTTATTTTGATACGCGAAAACACCTGGAAATACGTGGATTTATAATCCTCTTTTCAATCTGCGCATGCTCACCAGTACGTTTCGGTACGATACGGGCGAAGTGGAAAACCGGCTTAACACTTATTCATACCCAATTCACAACTTTCGTAAAGTTCCCAAGCATGGTTACTATTAATCATTTTACGGAAGTGCAGAATAGAACGAAAGCGATCATGCATTAGAATTACAGTATAATCATAAATCGTAAACTTCTAACGCTTAGTTAATTTATACTATGCTTTCGGTAACTAAAACGATGGTAATTTGGCATGTGTGTCATTTGGCATTGTGAATTGGGTTGCCACGTTGTAAACAAGTATTAGCCGATTTTGCCAACTATTACCTCAGATACTTGATACCTTAGGCTTGATCCTAAGTCTATTACTGACCCAAATAACTAATCCTAATTTTTTATCTAATCTAATCTCCAACCTATAATCCATAACATAATCGCAATCATTACTCTATCAAATCTTATCCTGTCTTCAATTCTAACTTTATCCCAAGCCTCATCCTAAATGGTACATGTGCAGTAATACGGAGCAGGTCTCCAATCTGCACTGCTAGTTGGTATAAAAAACTACGCGCTCTTTATTAGGGATGACACAGTGGGTTAAAGTGGGTGACATTCATACTTATTGGGTCGGTTCAACCATTCGTGAGTGTAGCATTACACAAGTATTGCCCAATAGAGCAAGCAAAACAGATGTCATAGATAATCGAGTGTGGAGCGATTTTTTGAAAAAGAAACTAAAGCTCCTATTCCACCAAGTCACCTTTCGCTTGAGTCGACTTTTTGTTTCCTTTGAATGGACTGTCAAGTCAGCAACAGACATAGGATGTAAAATTCCAGGAAAATGCCAAGGAAGGAAAAGTGCTTTGATGCATAATAATAATGCAAATTGAATGTTTTGGTGTAGCTATAAATGCCTACTGAAATTCATATTTTGAGGGGTTTTTTATTAAGAATCGCTTGACTTTAAATTAAGAAAAAAGGGAATTGTTGAAAAATGAAAAATTGAAGCTTAACCAGGAATCCAGGATATCATATCTATATGTTTCATCGGATGATAAGACTTAAGAGTATTAAAATTGGAGATCAAAAAATAGTATTATGTTCGTACGCGTCTACTGGCGTGCTCGCACTATTATGGTGAGCGAGACAAAACTCAGAGAGAAGCATGGAGCAAGGTTAGGTAGCTTGAGGACGGAGAGAAATGGCTACTGCAAGCTACTACATGTATTTAATAGTAAAAACAAGAATTTATTTTGGTTGTCATGCTTTCTTGAGAAAAGACAAGTTAGGACGAACATTTCCTATTATCCGAGTGTTAGACTAACTTTGCAAGACGAAAGAGGCTTTTTAGCGGAAATTGGATTTGTGTTATGAAAAGTTGATCGCTAAACCAAGTTCGTATTTAGCTTTACCAAACAACCTGGTTAAACTTCACTTTTTCTTTGGCAATACGATTCAAATTTGTCGGTAAAGATCAGCGAGCTTTCATCACATAACTGCATGGAACGATAACTTAGTTATTTGCCGGAATGAAAAGTGAAGTCAGAGATGGCTGCTATTGATCGTTGGTTTTTATATTCTCTTGCGGGACTTTCTATGAAGTAAATGGAACTTTCTATGAAGTAAATGGAACACTAAGCTCTAATGTCAACATTCTTTGATTCACTTTTATCAGCTAAGCCTAAGATATTATTCCGGTTAGATATTGAGTTCACTGGCACAAATAAATGTAACTTGAGGAATTATTTAATGAATTGACAATGAAATAACAAGTTTGAAAACTTCATACGCGTTTGTTCTTTGAAAGGAAAACGTTTGCTTTACCTGCTAGGAGTTCGCACGAGAATATGATCGGGCTAATTCTCCCTGACACAGTGATTACAGAACTAAAGGGCTGTTCGTATGAGCCGGGTTATGATTTTAGTATTTCGTACAGTACTGGAGGAGAGAGAATAAGCCTTTGTCACCGCCGATTTTTCCGCCATTTTGGGGGTACTGCTTCCACGTTTGAGAGTCTACGCACCACGAAATACAACTTTTTACTGTTGTAGTTGTTTGTATAATGGTAATTTTACAGTTACAACTTTAAAAGTCGCTGTTCACGTTGTAACGGTTTGAATTGTCTAGAATCTTTCACGGGGGCAGATAGTACCCCCAAAAAAGGCGATTCCAGGTATAGATGAATTTTGATCTAGACACGATGAACAAAATCCCATTACCATAGCTTCGTGCAATGAGCATCTTAAAATGAGTAAAAGTGCAAATTTTGGTTGCAACTTGTTGTAAAGTGAGGAAAATATAGCCATGTGAAGTTCGCAAATTTTGTTTATATTTGCATTACGCGCGGGAAAAATCCATTTTTGAGCCGAAAGTAGTTATTTTTACCGCGCGTAATACAAATATATACAAAATTTGCGAACTTCACAGGGCTGTATTTTTTTCGTTTTACAACATTTAGCAACCAATCTTTGCAGTTTTACTCATTTTAAGACGCTCTTTCTAGCTGTGGTGTTGGATTTCGTTCTTCGTGCCAGCTTGATCAAAATTTAGTCTTTAGCTGGAATCACCCATTCGTTCGAATCAATTTTGTAGATAAAGTGGGCTTAGGGGTACTCAGGGACGGACCATTAGAAAAGTGATATGGGGGTGGGGCAAAACCAAAAAAAAAAATTATTCCCAGAACAAAATTAGGAAAAAAAATCTTTCCAGGCATAGTGCAAAAAAAAATTCCTTGCTTGGAAGATAGGCCTATAAATTTCACTTAAAGGTGATCTACAATCCGTATGTAAACAAAGCCTTTGTTTACATTTTTGTGTCCAAAATATTGAGCTTTATTCGACACCTATTTATATTTTCAAGCTTCTAGAGTATAATATATGATCAAGAAACAACAATCAGGCTTTTCAAGAAATCAAAACATAGTTAACCTGTTTGTATCATAAAAAGTGGGCTCATTTGTGCACATGCGCAGATCGAACTGTAGATCACCTTTAAAAAATATTTCCAGCCATCAAGTGAGAAAAAATTTCTATTAGTGTACAAAAAAATATATATTGCCTCTTAGAAAATCCCCCCCCCCCACCCCATCACTTTTCTAATAGTCCGTCCCTTATCACAAGAAGTTCTCCTGTCCTATAGAATTTTTAATTCGATAATGTGTTAAGCCCGTTTTCCACTCACGTATTTCGCCGCCGCTGGCGAAAAATTTTGACAAAGAAATCATTTTTTTACATTCATTCGCCGCTGAAGAAATTTGTTCTGCTACATTTGCTTAAAATTTTCAACTTCTGTTTGACCTTTCGTTGACAGCGCGAAAGAACAACAAATGAACTTTTTCGGTGGCGAAATTTTTCGCCAGCGGCGGCGAAATACGTGAGTGGAAAACGGGCTTTAGATAAGGTATTACCCATAAGCGTACAGGGGGGGACAATAATTTGCTCGATCTTCATGGGCCACTTTCTTTCTGATGGTCGTAAACGATTTTAACTCGCCATTAATATTAATTGCCTTCCCTCAATCTTGGATATTTCTAGACATTACAAAAACTAAACTGCGAATATTTGCAATTCAATTTTTCGGCCAAAATACTCAAATAGAATTCCTGTTAGTATTGTTGTCCGCACCAGTACAAGAATGAGGAGTGTACAACTCAAGGTCAAGATATACAGAATAAACTCTAATCGAAATATTACCTTGTTGACAGAAACATTTCCTTGTTACATAGAATTACTTCAGAATGTAAGCTACAGTCATGGTCAATTGTGGAACTAAACAGGTGCAATTTCAGAGCCGCTTGGTTTTAATTAACTTAAAATCTTTCCAATCAATGTATACGTTTTGTTCACAGTCAACATTGAAAGGGGTGGGGGTTGCATAGAAACAGGCGCGAGAGTATTAGTATATACACGAAGTGAAGGAGGAACAAGACCACATCTCAGACGATTTTTGAGACGATATATTTTTATGACGATCGTCATAAAACTTCGCGACGATTCAGAGAGAAGTGGAAATGTACTAGCAGCAAGAAAAAAGCGCGGAATCTTATTGGTTAAAAATTTGGCGCGGATCGTTTGGCGACCGACGAAAAGTATAAGCGCTAGACGATCGCTCTTCGAACATTTTTTCGATTGTGTATGTGTCGTCGCCAACTGTTTTGACGATCGTCTCAAAAATCGTCCAGGGGAGATCCGCCTTTATAGCCAGTACACTACAGTCATATTGGGAGTCTAGCCGGGGCCGTACGCAGGATTTTTTCACCGGGGGGGGGGGGCAGTAAGGCCTATATGCCAAAAAAGTCCCGAATATCCAAAGAATAATTTTAATTATATGAACAATATATTTAATTATTAATTAATTTTTAAAAAATTAATTTTTAATTATTAAAATAATGACATTCTAAAAATCGTAAATGTAGCTTTCTCTGAGAGGGGGGCAGTTATCCCCAAAGCTGTGTACGGCCCTGGGTCACATCCTTATTCTGTGCCTGAGTCTAGCATTCCACACAACTTTTAATTCACCAAACTTCACTGATTGTTAATTGTCAGTCGTCTTGCCAGTAAACACTAATAAGGTCCATAACTGCTTATATGAACAGCTTAGCCTTAGTTTGTTTTGGTTGATCATGCGGACAATAAAAGAAAATAAACTATAGATATATTTATACGGCACTCATCACTTTAATTTTGTTTCGGAAAAGCAATCGCAAAACGTGTTCATATTGGGTGGGTACTTATACCGCGTACTAAATATCATGAGCAGTACTTGAATTTCTTTCATGTATATATGCTCAACATGTCAAAGAGGGAAACACTTGGAGTTAGTGCCGGTTAGAGGCTTAAACCATTAAAGGGAAACACTTGACCAGTAAATCATCAAACAAAGTAAAATAACGTTAATTTAAAATTAACTAGCTAAAATTAACTAGCTAAAATTAACGAGGCGCAGCCGAGCGTTTTATGTCTGATAAAACATGACAACGAGTGTACAAAAGAATATACGAATTAGGATGAACAATTACATTATCAAGGCCCTGGGTACGAGGTGTTGTATAATCATACTAATTAGCCGGATGAACAATTATATAAAGAATACTAATGAAGATGAGTTTTATCAGATATAAAGTCACTCCACGTGACATATTATGGCTGACATGATTTGCCACAAGGTTTATGAATTATTAATGTCTATTTTAATGTTTTTAGAAAAACGTCTTGCATGTTGGATTTAGAAAAGCACATAGCCTTCTTAAGTGCTACTGACCTACTGTGTGCGTTTGGACATACAGTGCCTCTCCTCTTACATCATTCTCAAAACACATTTTGCGTCTGTTATGACACAAACCTAGATTTTGACTAACATGAGTGCCTGAATGGAGCTTCGATCTTGCAGTGATTGTAAAGATGACCAGATGTGATATAGCCAGAAAGTTTTCTCTGCAATCTTATTTATACTGCAACCTATTGCGCCATGCCATACCCTTGGAGCAGACTTTGGTACGGTAGGATAGCTACAAAATTTTCCTTAACCAAATGTTTCAATGATTGATACTTTAGTTTAGCAGTGCACGCATAGGCGCCGTACGAGCCGGGGGGGAGAGAGATTACCCCCAAAACGTTAGAAAAGCATGCAAATGCTAGGAAATATCAAGAAAAGATTTGTGCACGCGTAAACCTATGCTTTACGGTAATGTCAATGGGCCCAGGATATGTGAATGTTTCCTTGGGTGTTTCAAACCGACAGATATGATAATTGATTACACTTACATAACAGGTGTGGCTGTGATTATACATACATCAGTACAGGATGGGTGTGCGCATTTTTTTCTTATCGGATTATAGATGTAAGTCACGTTTAGACTCCGGGACCGGTAATTCCGCTTAGATTTACACCCATTGTACACCTTGATAAAAATAAACATTCTTTACAGAGTCGATGAGTAAGATTAACGTAGATGTAGTACATGAATAATATACAGATACCTTGATTTTGTTGGCTGTTCCTGGTTAGGTCTATAATAAATGGATGTAAATTTACACTCGATAATTTCCATCTACAAGACCCTTCAACCATAATATGCACCTTACCTGTTGAGGTATACTTACCTCGAATAACATCGTTATACAGTTACAAATTAAATACGGTTTTACCAAATACCTTCCTTAATTCATCACAATTTTTTTCATATTAAACTTCTTAATTAATCAAGTGGTTTAAAGTCATGCACATGGTCAAAACCTTTTTAATGCTAAATCCGATTGGTTGAATACAGGAAGTTGCAAGTAGAAAATTGTATTTATTAAGTTATTGAATCATATAGGACATTGCTTGTGGTTCATTAGATAGGGATGGGCCGATATCGATACCAAATACTCGATACTATCGATACCAGGGTTTTGAAGAAAAGCATCGATACTGGCAAGAAATATCGATGTTTCGATATTTCTGCGCCCGCGATATTTTTCATTTTGGTCAGCGGCATCATCATGAAAATGATACCAAAAAGCCCAAATAGGCGTAAATAGTTCATTTTCTATGGTGCTATAATGGTCCACGGGAAGGATGGGAGTTTCTGGTTATGTTGGTTGCAATCACTGACATATGTTATTCAATGTTTATATTGTTAATTAGCGTTGTGGCCGTTGTTAATGATTTCAAGTTGGGAAAATATCGATATCGGTATCGATATCGAAAAAACCCGGCAAATATCGAGCAAATATCGTATCGAATGAAAAAGGTGGTATCGCCCATCCCTATCATTAGAATCTCATGTGAAATACAATAGGGCCATTTATACGGGACAAAATAAGTCGCGTCTTACATAAGACGCGTCTTATATAAACTGAGTTATCGCATAAATGGTTCTCTACGAATTTTAATATTCTTATTTACTTGCTATAGCTATAATGTTGTTTCGGTTGTTTCTGTTCGAATATGCAAGGCTAATAATTTTACGTTGTTTCAAGTTTCGGGCATGTGTAGTTAGAATTTTTGTCTAAAATAGTAAAATTTCTTATTTAAGACGCGACTTAAATAAGGGACCGGTCATTATTTATGGTGGTGGGTGGCACCGAAGAGAAATGTTTTTCGTAGCAAAAATTTTGCTGACCCAACCATTAAAAAGTAAAATATTTGATTACCCAACCTCAAATATCAATTAAAAAAGAAATACCCACCCCTGGTCAAAAACATTACAAAAAGATACCATTCAGTTGTCACACAAGTCCCTCACCACTTCTGTGACATGAGTTTGATAATGGATTGTGAAATTTTCTCCAGTCTAAAGTTTCATGTTGTATTGTTGTCTGCACATGTACTTTCTTTGGAGACACCATTTGTCTCCCAGCAATGATCAAGATAGTGACTCTGATTGATTCACATATTGTACTGACATATGACTGTTGACATTGCTTTTTAGTCTACAATATTTCAGTGAGTTATGCTTGAAAATAACAATAATTTTTTACTACCCAACCCTTGAGTTGTTTAGTTTTTCATTTACCCAACCTTTTACTCACTCAAAATTTTGTTTACCCAACCATTTTCTCTTCGGTGCCACCCCCCAACCATAAATAATGACCGGCCCCTAAGAACAGCTAAAAGACCTGTTCTTATGTAAGACGCGTCTTATCCAAGACGCGTCTTACATAAGAATTGTGTACCTTTTGTACGACAAACTTGCGTCTTACCTAAGTCGCGTCTTATGTAAGTCGCGTCTTATGTAAGTCGCGTCTTATTTTGTTCCGTATAAATGGCCCTAATGTGCCTATTGTCTATCCGGACTCCAATCGTAAGACGCCAGTAACCCATTTATGGTATACGCATTTTGGGATATAGTAACATGTAAACCTTCATTTCTTTCTTCTGTGATGTAGACTAATTAAAACCTGGATTAACTACTGACCGTAGTCTTAACATATTTTGTTCAGGTAAACAAGTAAAAAATTCAAAATTAACCTTCCTGAATTGTAGAGCATCAGGTCATGATTTTAAAAAATCTTAATTTAAAACAATTTTGAAATTAAAACATTTTCTCTTTACTGAAACACCTTAATAGTTAGTAAGCACAATTGTTAGTTGCACTCTAGTTCCGATTTATTTATATCTAACACCTTCTGAATGTTCTCCTAGAGAAACAAGTTTTAGGGGCTTTGGTCTGAGTTGATGGGTTCGATTTTTGCTACAGACTCGTGTGAAAAGAGTCAGTCAACGACAACGCTCTGCCGAAAGTCGTGGGTTTTCTCCGGTTTCCTCCCACAGGGAAACTTTGACGGATCAATTGAACTACGACCCCCTTAAATTAGTTCTCTAAACTAAAGAACTGCCTCGTTCTTCATAAACCCTATTTTATTTACTAAAGACACTTTTAATTCATGAACTAGATCATTCATGAGCAAAAATAAGTAGGAGTTCTTAAAGAACGAGACAGTTCTTTGGAGAAGTAACTTTATGGGGGTCGCATACTTCAAGTTCAATTGATCCAAGTTGGATTGACAGGGTGGGTTAGGATAAACCACTGAAAACACAGTTAAGAAAGTAATATCACAATTGTTGTAAAGATAAAGGATATCCAAGTAAAATACTCTAGGCTAAGTATGTAATTAGGTAAGCGTATAATACTCAATGTAAAGCGCATTTCATCATATCCACATGTAAATTGCACAAGAGCACAGAAATGCCAATCGTAATCATATTAAAAGCAGGAACTATTTTTTATGTAAATGATATAGACACTGAAAGCTGTTGTAATTGTTCATATTCACCAAATATGGGTAGACAATATATGAATATAATGTTCATATCCATACGAAAATAACTCTGATCCTGGTATCGATCCAATATGGAAACTTCCTCCATATGTGGGAGTAACAAAGTGTCATAGTTCAGCAGACACTTCACAGATATTAATAGTGTGAGAAATTGAATCAATAGTTTTCATTATATGTAGAAGATGTATACCTGTGGTCCTGTTTCAATCCTGAAGAAAATAGAGTAGGTCATGAGTGTGGTCAGCTGGCATTGCCACAAGACATAAACATTTTGTGAAGGAATTTACAACTGTGGGCAACTGACGCCATCTTTGGCATCACATTGTATCATAAAGGGAGCAACAACTAAAAATAGGGTCGGTTGGTACAGGGGCATAAGAAGCAGGGGGCTGCCCCCTCCCCCAATATTTTATAAAGGGGAGCCAGGATAGCTTTCAGCCGCCCTAAAAATGATTGGATTTTAAAAAATAATAAAAAGTTACTGCAAAATTCTTGAAACTGTAAGTATTTGAAACCATACTATATCATTTAATAACATATCTGCAATTGTTTATTGTTATTTTAATAACATTTTTGTTTGGATGTTTTTTGGTCTATGCTGCTTGATGGGCGGCAGTATTTACTTGCTCAAATAATTATCATCTAATGCAGTCGCTAACCATAAAGCAAACATATTTATAGCTTAATCATAATGACAGAATTTGAGAGAGCTTAATTAACGAAAGTGCAAAAGAAGACCCTGAAAATGCCATTTCCGACAATCTGGAGACTCCAAATTTTCCCGCTCAGCACCAACCATGGTGGTGCCACATGGGAGTCAGCCCCCCCTAACTTTTACAAGCTTCCTATGCCCCTGGGTTGGTAAGCCAACAACATAAAAAAAACACTGGGGTTGGCAGCAAAAATTGGAATAGTCTGCAAACTGGAACAACAGGTTATGTCTTGTTAGAGGATTTTGTCAAGTATAAATTTTATACATTTATTAGACCTAACCAGAAGCAGTTGTTAAAAATGCAACTATAGGCCCTCTGGCAGGAAACAAACCTGCGATAATTTCTGATGCCTATAGTTGCATTGCAAAAGTCCTATACACTGCTCCACATTAGGTCTAATAAAAGTATAAAAATTTACACTCGAAATTTCCATCTACAAAACCTTTCCACAATTAGTTCTAATAATCTAGTGAGATGTCTGAAAACCTGATAGTTACCAACAAAGATTTAAAAGGCAAATCCCAACCCCCCTGCCATTGAAATATGTATGACACTCTCAACAAAGAAAGAAAAAACTACAAGTTCCCTATTTCGAATGTCAAATTCCTCACTCCCCGGAGACACCTTTGAGACAAATTCCTCACTCCCCGGAGACACCTTTGAGTCAAATTCCAGGGGGAAGGATGGCAAATTTGACAATGCATAATAATGATAATATTTTGAGTAATCAACCCATCTCGATAGTGAACTGTGGAAACATTTCAGAAGATCAAATTGAAAATTAATACAAATTCTGGACAAATAGATGGAAATCATGACTGGCCCATAAACAGATTCAATTAAACTATTAATTAAAACTATATTTATAATATTAAAGTAATGGTTAATAGACTAGCAAGCTAAAATGTATAAAAAGTACAATAAATATTGACTTCAACTTGTCACTTTGTGAACAAGTATAAGTGCCACACATTTGACATAAAATAGGGAATAAATTTATACAAGTGCACCTCATATTTATAATTCCACGTGGTTCATATCCTGACGAGGGAAATGAAAGTTCAATGATTTATTAACAGGCATTGTATTTGCCGTGAGTTCTGCAAGTTCAACAAGTGCTAGAGCACCAATCCAACGTTCTTTCTGTTCAACTATTCTCTTTTTAGCCTCCACTCTTGCCCTCCTTCGTTCAGAAATGCCGAGTTGGTTTCTTTCCCGATCACGGTCTAATTCACGTCGCGATTCCTTCTTGGACTTTAAAGCACCCGGGCTTTTGTTTTGCCTTTCCCGCTCGTATTTATTTAACCACATTAGCACGTCTTTGGTGTGTTCATTTGGTTCCTTGTTTTGGATTTCGCTGAGTAAGGTTCTCTTCAAAGGAATGACTTCGGAATCCTTGCGTACGAGACCAGCTTTAGGATGAGTTGGACAATGGCGGTTTGCGTGAGTAAATCGTGATTCGCATCCTTCTACAGCACAGATAAAAGGTTTCTCGCCAGTATGTAATCTTTGGTGGGTTTTTAACTGGCCACTTTGAACGAAAGCTTTATCACAGTTGGGAAAATCACACGTGTACGGACGGTCTCCACTATGTGTTCGTTTGTGTGCTTGTAGTGATTTCTCGCGCGGGAAAACACGACCACAAATATCACAACGTATCGGCGAGCGAGACTGAGCTCCTTCGACAATCAAATAATTTATCATCTCGGCTTTCGGTCGGCCTCTTGGTGGAGTCACCTTCGCTTCTTTCGCGTCGACGTCGCTTAGCTGATGAAGGTAGTGTGGACTCAACGATGGGAAACGTGGAAAGGCAAATTTATTTGGCGGGGTATTTGGTGGTGACCAAACAGTCACAGACTCCGCATAATTTCTTGCACTCTCCATTCTCGCGTCCATGTTTTCCTGGTCTACTTTAGGGTCAATATTCTGTGATTCTGAGCTAGCGTCTTGCGAATTATCTTGCTCAATTGGGCAATTTGTACTGCTGTCCTTCATAAGGAAGTCCGCCATTTTTAAAGCTACCACTCGAAAGGGATTTAACCATTTACTAAACTTTGGCGCCTAAATATGTCATTGGCTAATAAACATAGTGACGTCTCGAAACCGGAAGTTTAAAAGCAAAGATAATTTCCGGCTTATTACTTATGACTTTTAATATAGGGACCCGGTATGCATAAACGAATATAAAATTGAGAAATGAAAAATATCGTGCAGTAGTGTGTCATATATGTAAGGAAGTATCCTTCATTTTATCTAGAGAAATGACATTTTATCTAGAGAGATATCCAATTTAATATTGAATGAATTGAATTCCAACTCGATATTCCAAACTCAACAAAATTTTAATTTTAAAAAGTTTATAGACATGGTTTTCCCCAAGAGGTTTTCCCCCAACATATTAATACTGTCAGGAAACAGTATTAATAAGCTCAAAAATAAATCAATCGAAATTTTTTCAGTGTTTTGTTTTCAGTTTCAAACCTCCAAATCTTCGACTTCGCGAAATAGATATAAATAATCCAATGAAAGGCGAATTGATTATCCACAACTTCCGTGGTTGTCGAAGAATGAAAAAAAATGCACAATGATAAACATGTAAATTTATGAATCGTTTTTAGAAGCGCATATGGCCATAAATAATGAGAGTGGTGAATTTTTGTGAGCTGTGACCACTGAGCTATAATATTACTGGAGGAGGTGCTCCTATCTCTCGTCAGTCAAAAAAGTGTCCGCGAAAACATGGCGGATTTTCACGTTTGCTGACGCCATATGGTTCCTCCGGCTCATGGCAATTACCACTGACCAACCGCGATCCTAAGCATCCAACAAAGACCTTCGCCCCCCTGTGTTTGCACAAATATTTTATGTTTTCAAGACAAAATCATGCCGTTTTTCTCCACTTGTGGATGCAAAGATTCGCTGTAAAGACTTTAAAAGGAAGAATATTTCTTCTGAAAGGTAAGATTTGTGAAAATTTTAAGTTTTTACCTTTTATTCGACAAATTTTCGATTGGCAAAGTCAGGGGCCGATATGCGTATAAAATCGAGGTATAAATATGTATTTGTCAAACACTTATATTTTATATTTACACCAATATTTCTGGAGCAGACATAAAAAACGTTGTACATGGTTATTTATACATTGTGTACATACATTTTCTTTCTAGTTTCAGGCACTGGCTTTTGTTTTTAGTGCCAGTTTATTAGTTTAAAGTCTTTAAACGGCATGCTGCTCATGCAATCTGTAGTTTGCTTTGTTTCATAAAGAGCAGTTAGCACTAGATTTATATACAGTATAAACAAGCTGTATTGTATCCTTCACAAATATTATAAACTGCTAGCTACTTGCTAGGTTTTGTATCAGCATTTACCAATTGGCTGTAATTTAGGCTTTTTTGTGGGGTTGTGCACTACATTTCAGTTCAGCATCGAGCTATCATCGACTTGTGCATACCCAAATTTGCATGATTTATACTTATATCATTCTTGCATTGGCATTACCTTGAATGCTAGTATGGGTCAACCTGACAACCTCTATGCCTCATAAAAATCTCCAAACAAAAAACCTCCTTCACTCAGAAAATACCTCTGTCATGGGAGTCTTGATTTATGTTTAGCCATATTTATTTAGGTCCCTTAGAGGTTAACCCATTGAGTCACATTGCACCCTACTTTATTATTTTACTCTGTCTGATGCCAGATGATTTTACTCATCAAGTAGAGAGTGCTGGTGCTTAATGGGTTAATAACTAGCCTATGTGTCTAGTTATGAGTCGCATTGCACCCTGATGCGCCCTTTACTCTGTCTAACGCAAGATTAATTTACTCTGTCTAACACCAGATAATTTTACTCGTCAATTGGGGAGAGCGATTGCGCTTAATGGGTTAATTCAGATTTATACAAGATTAGTGGTGCACAAGAGCTAACAGTTCCAATCCAGCCACAGCTGTAACTTGCAAAGTAGGGGTGGTGGTCTCAGCTAACTGGCCAGAACCTACAGTATGCACCCATTGCAATTAATTTTGAAATGTATATGAAACAGTTTCACACCATAGAATAAAACAATCATAAACAAAGTAACTTTATTTCTCATTTCTATTACAGGCATCAAAGTGATATGTAATTATACAAGAACTGAAGCAAAAATGTTCTTCCTGTAACAGATGTATTGTATCATGATAGTTAACATTGATGTATATGATCTTATTTGGGTGTAACAATGTGTAGTAATACAGTATCTGTAGTAGTAATCTGTTATCGCTACCAAAAGAAAATTGAAAAGAGATAAACATGCCAAACAGCCAAAGTGATGTCACAGCTCATGGGACTACAAAGTGATAATTATACTAGAATAACTTGATTATACAGTTAGTTCAAACTGATTGGGTCATTCAAAGAAATATCCACACCCCTAATGGAAGAGATGGGAGGTTCAGCTTCCTCCCACTTTTGGACACCCTTAGCTAATACTTTTACTATTATCAGCAGTTGAGTTCTGCCCACTTCAGACAGCACTTCAGACATATCTGTGGAGTTAGTGTTTATCTTTTCTGGAATGACTCATTGGTGATTGGTAGTTAATAATTATTCATTGAAGAATTTAAATTAAAATAATACAATTTCAACTGCATCATTGTGGTGGTAAATAATTCTGCAATAAACAAGAATAGATTATATAGGTTACTCTAAAAGAGAAAAAGCATGAAAAATCATATCAAGGGAAAATGAGGAATACAAAAGAAATATACTAGGTTTTCAGACAATGCTCGAACTTTGTTGGCAAGTTGAGTGACCCCTTGAAAATACATTGTTTTTTCAGAATTATATTTATCAAGAAACTATTAGAAGTTACAGAAACCATAATCCTATGTGTATGTACACCAAAAGCTAAAAAAATATGAACAAATATAAAGGCCCCAAGCTCTTCAGCTGAAACGTCGAGGTTTATTTGTCTTAGTCTTAGCTACAGTGGTTGCATCATCCTGCACTAACTAGAACCCCCACCCAAGAACTACAGTCATAGTGATTCAAAACTCCTTAAGGTACTCCGACAGCAGAATGAGCTTCCTTGAGTACCTCTAGCTTTTGCATATAAAGTTAGTACAAAATATAAAATACTATAAAGTCTCTTTGTTATTCCCTCAAAATATAGTGGTAAGTACTAGCTGGTAGCACATTATACTGTACTTTCATGTAATCATGTCATTATAAAATCAGTCCCCAGGGTCAAATTAAGATAATTTGATATTTGTAAAATGCACAGTTTCGTGCCACCTACAGAAAATTTTGAAAATAGTATCATGAAATACAAACTGCACAGCAGGCTTATTCAAAACATCATAAAATATGCAACAAATAGAGCATGTAAACAAATAAACAATAGATCAAAATACCATTTTGCACACGATTTAAATGAAACGAAAGTTGATTACTTTGTACAACAAGGCTTTACGAGACCTTTACATACTTGTGGCTAAAATATAATACATTGTACCACAGTTAAACCCAACAATTTTTGTAGAAAATTTGCTCGAGTGTGACTCAGTGTGTGAAGTTATGAACTGAGAAATATTTTACCTGTAGTTGCGACTTCAAATATCGTCTTTGCGGATGTATTTCGAGGTTTTCTGTTTTTGAGGACGAGAATATAATGTGTACAACTTACACACATTTGAACCAGTGGTCAAAGGTACAAAAAATATGAAAAAAATCAAAACTACGAGAATATACTGCAAATACTTCAACAAGCAAAAATATTTTAATAAGAACCAGGGGGGTGTGAAAGTCGTAGCGGGCTCAAAATTGAGCCTGGTCAGTGGTAATTACCATGAGCCGGAGGAACCATATGGCGTCATTCTGGCGTCAGCAAAGGCCGAAATCCGCCATGTTTTTGCCTGGGTCGGCACCATAGATATAGGAGACCTAGATTGCTGACTCTAATGTTTTCTATAATGCACGCGCGTGACACTCATGAGCATTCAAAATGGCGGCTCAACCGGGCAAAAATCATAGAGCGAGATAGGGAAAAACCATGTTTTTTGCATTTTGCGTCGTCCTACAGCTTCCGATCCCGTTATATCACTTTATTTTGGAAAGAACTAACTGGTGTGAAGGTTTTGGATGAATATTTGTACAATTTAAGTTTAATAAAGACGAAATAATCGATCGCTAAATGTTTTCTGAAAATCATCACAATGGTCGGTTGAGCAGTTCGAGACATTTTGTTGCAGAAAATAAAGGTTTTGGTTCTTTGGGTGCTTTTTTTCTCGAGGATCTCGGTTGGGATATTTAACAAGGAATAATTCTGTGAAGTATTTTGAAGTTAAAGACTATTTTACTTGATTTATTTGGTCTGCTGGTGCGAAAATTCTGATGCTCTGTTTAGTGTGACTTTGACAACCTCCTTGCTGCTGCAGATGTCAAGGGATCTCAAGTCTATAGGGCCTGGACAGTGAAAAGTGATGAATCAATCAGGTTTGTAGAGAACTAGTGACAACGAAAGTTTTCAATGGAAACTAGTTTGAAGAAACTGCCTAATGTGTCTGGTATGCATCAAAAACCTTCACAGTTAGTATCTAGTTCTCTCCAAGAAACCTGATTGATTCATCATTGATAATCAAAAATAGATGGGACGGCATCTTCGTTTAGATATTTCTTGGATTGGCATTTTATTGATTGCTCTCTGCAGTCGGCATTCTTCCCTTCGGACGCTCTCCCCTTGAGACAGCTGACCCAAGCATCAGCACTCTCCCCTTACGAGTAGAATTGTCTGGCGTAGCCAGAGTAAAATAATTAAGTAGGGCACAAAACGACTCAATGGGTTAACTATACACATTTGCAGGTAGGCCAGTTAACCCATTAAGTGCCACTGCTCTCCTCTTGATGAGTAAAATTGTCTGGCATTAGACAGAGTAAAATAATAAAGTAGGGCACCTTGCAACACCATGGATTAATATAATCATCGGGTGTGAAGTATAATCATCCGGTGTGAAGTGTTTCTCACACAACA